AAAAATCCTGCTATTACAAACACTTCTATAAATTTCCTTTTCTTAGAGTCATTAATTTTCAGATATAATTAGTAAGATATGCAGAATTCTGAAAAATGGCACAAAAAAGTAAAGAATTTCTCAAAAATAAGGAGAACTTGTACACACAGAGAGTTAGTCATTTATTAAAATTTCTGTACTGAGAATTTAAAATGAGTTAACTCCTTGTGATCATAGAGATTTATATCGCAAATTATAGGCTTATAAACTTTATTTATAAATTGATTTATCGCAGAACTATTATCTTCATCTCTTTCCTCTATTCTTCACTTCTTCAATTCCCTCATTTCATCAAGAATAATTCATATAAGCATTTGTCATTGTAATGGAAGTCTATAATAATATCTTTTTAAACTTTTAAACACAAAATAACTAATTAATCAAACAAGTGAAAAATCTAAAAAAAAAAAATCTTTTATAAGATACATTAATAAAAAAAAATAGTAGCCAGAGTAATGTAAAATGATAAATAACTAGTAGTATTATGTATGCTATTCAATTACATCGGTTTAAGTCAATATTCTTTTTCCCATGCAAATGTAAGTTAATAAACCTATCAAAACACATTCCAAAAATTTACAAAAGTTAATTAATAACATAGTTTTCAATGAATCCGATAAATCATATAAATAACACATTCTTACTTCAAAGCTGCATGGTGGCCTGAAGGTCTTATGAAATTCTATGATTATTCTTAAAACTACTAATATGTTTTCCCCATTTTCCACCTAAAATATTAATATTTGAATAAAAATAAAACATCAATAAAATCAGTATAAACGAAGTCATAAAATTCCAACATTAAACATATAGAGGAAATATATGTTGAGAAAAATATCTGCATAGTTTCTCTAAGTTTTTATGAAAGCAACAAAATTCTAAGTTTATAATAGCCTTTTCTTAGAGTCATTAATTTTTAGATATAATTAGTGAGATATGCACAATTCTGAAAATGGAACAAAAATTAAAGAATTTCTCAAAAATAAGGAGAACTTGTACACACAGAGAGCATTTTAAACAGAAATATTTTTCAAATGGTATCTAAAGTAAACATTTTTTTTAAAAAAATGAGTCATTTATTTAAAAATAAAGAGAGAAAAAACATGTTTCAGAATAAAAGAAAAAACAAGACATATTTAAGTAATAAAAAAAAAGCATTTACTATCTCTTAGCTCTGTGGCTAAAATATGACGGGCTGCTACGAGCAATTCTTTGCACAAGTGGGCAAAATCTTGAGGACATAGATACAACAATCCTATCATTCCTTTAGCAAACTGTGAGGAATGTTCATTCACAACATACTACAAAGAAATAATCAAATTAAAATCACAGCTGGGTTAAATTATTATCAAAATTTGAATTAAAATTAAATTTGCAACTAATTTAGGATAATATCACTCAGATAAACATAAATACAGTGCATGCTGCTTATTAAAATCATATCCGTTTTGAGAACACTCGATTTTAAAAAGCAGCAAATTTTAAAAACCAAAATGTCGGAAATAATCATTTCGAAGTTGAATTTTAAACTGAATTAAGTTGATTAAAAACTAAATTGATTACTACATGTATGTTTTATTATAACAAAACCTACATTTGACATTAACATGAGCTACATTTTTTAAATTAGGAGGGTTTTAAAATATTATATTTGATAAGTGAAATTTCAAATTAAAGATTCACTATAGTTTGAAAGCATATAAGAGTTTCTAAAACATTAAATATCCTTTTCTATTTTGTAAAGTTCATTTTAAGAAATCAAGAGTTCTTCTGAAATCCATTAAAGTTAGATTTACCTTATTGAATGATTAAGGATCCATGACATTGAATGATAGGCATTTTACAATTTTTCTTAGTACATAAACAATTTTCTTTTGGATTCCTTTAGACTCCCTTTTTCCTAATTTTTTAAACTTTTGCCCTTCAATTTCAACGCAAAATGCAATCAACACCAATAACTTTGTTCATAGAGAACAGATAAAAATTTATTATTTACATGTATTCAGAACTTAAGAATATAGAAAATTCTAATCATTCAAACAAGAAAAAGCAACGTTTTTCATTATTTTAAACAAAAGCATTACAAAATTTTGTCACATTTTTCTTTATTTAAAATTTGTTAGTGTACTCAACATTGTTATACCACATTAGAGTACTTCTAAGCAGCAAAAGGATTTCCTTAAAAATACAGGATAAAAAATATTTATTAAAAAAATAAAGAATGATTCTTAATATATTAGTCATTAACCTACTCACTTGATATATTCTAACTAGGTAAGCCAGAAAAGATAATGTTTTTATCTGTGCAGACATAAAGTCAACATAAACTTCTTTGTTGAGAGATCGATTGCTCCTAAAATAAAACAAAACAAAAAATAAAATTTCTGTAAACATTCTGCATTTTGCCTGCTTTTTTCCCAAAGAACAAATTAAATGTATAAAATGTAATTTTTAACTTTGTCCCACAGAATCATTGAACATAAAATTCTTTCACAGAATACAATTGAATAAGTAAAATATACTGAATAGTTTTATGATGACACTCTGACTTGATCATTTGGTATGAAATATAAAATAAGTCAAAAAGAAAGACATTTAAGGTATATCCTACATGCAAGTAGTTAATTTAAAAAGTTTCTCTCTATATTTTCTGCTATATTTTGACTGTAAACATTATAAAAATAAAATTAAAATGACAAGGGAGTCAAGGATAAAACAACAATCAAGATCAAAATCAATAAAATAGATTTTACAGCAAAAATCATGCAAGTTGACCATTTGTAATGTACCAATTTGATGGCCTAGTTTGAGAAGTGGTCAGTATATTAAAAGGTGATACAAGAGTGGTGTTAATTATAGTCTTGGTATACCTAGTGGGCTGATCAACTTAATAAGTTACATTGAACTCCATAGTAAAATGTTTGTTTCAATTAAGAAAGCTTTATTTTTAATAAGTGTAACAAAGTAATAAAATACGTTATACACGATATCATCAATATTCCTTAGACTATTTTTTTAGTTGAATATATGACATTGTTTTAAGATATTTAGAAAAAAACTTACTCACACTTTGCAATATTTTTGCTGCAAACCTTTTCAAAGAAAAAGAAAAGACATTCCAGCTTCAATCAAGGATAAGAATAAAAACTGAGACCAATAAAATAAATCTGATTTCATTTGGATACAACATTTGTTTTAATTAAAAAAAGATTAACAAGCTTTTATTTTTGAAAAAGATTACAAAATATCAAATTTTTTGTGATATTGACAAATATTTCTCAGGCTAACTATTTTGTAATTAAATTATGAGCTGGTTGTAAGATATTTAAAAAAAATTATATTCTAAGTTTAGATGATTTGATCCAAACAGAATAAGAATTAGAAAATTATATATCCACATTGAGATGCATTTTATCAAAGAGAATACTTTATCGTTATCTTATATAGGACATGTTGTGAATTAATTGAAACTTTATTGGATATATGAGTTTTTTTATAAAATTAGAAATTATTTTTTTCATGACTGTTCTGAAATTAATCAAAATTATATATTTTAGTGATATTTCACATTGCTAAATTTAAATTAGTTTTTATTTAGATACAAGAAAATTTTAATAAAACAAATACTTTATAGCAAATATGAGAATCAATGCTAGATAAATCAAAAGTTATGTAAATATTGACTATGATCATCATCAACTGAAAACTGTTTCCAACTTCTGGAATCTAAAGTGCAACATTCTTAATACTTCCAGAGATTTCTTAGTTATTTTATATAGATATATTATCATCTAAGAGTAATTTGGCAAACAAAGAGACAATTATTAAAACATTTATCATTTTATAGACTATTTCAACATTGAAGTATAGTCACTAATATTAAACTTTCTATGGTCAAAAAATATTTGAGTAATGTTAAAATTAAGTTACCCCTGTTGAGCTGTGGGTTGTAAAGTATTAGTTGTCATTATCGATGACACAAATTCTTTGACATCTTTTTTGAACACTCATTTTATATAGCTGGTACATAAAGACAACAATTATAGGTAGCTCTGCCAGTGCCTTTAAGGACATAGTAGCTTTTGAGATTAAATTGACCTGTAAAAGAAATCAAATATATGAACAATATAAAAAAAAAAGAAAAATCACAAAGTAACAATTTTTAATGCTAGAAAGTATAGAAGAAAGTAATTTTGTAATTTTTAGTATAACATTTTTCTTTAAACACACATAAAACTGGAGAACCATGCTATTAATTTGGTTAAGAGAACTACAAGTTTAACTTTATAGATACAATAAATTGTTATGCCTTCATTATGTATTATAAGCAACAAAGTATGACATTTATAAAAGGATGGGTGAGTTCAGGGACAGGGAGCTTTTGGAGCTTGCTCAAAGTCCCTTCAGTTTCTGAAAAGTAAACAACAATTTGAAAGTTTAGTTTTTGAATGATCCAGTTCATATTTTTCACGTGACATCATTTTTCTTAATCTAATAATTTTTTGTAACAATATTTTAAACAATTCTATCAAGAAAAACAAACAACAAGAAAAACAGTCAAAATTTTAAAAAATAATGAAATACAAATCATGATTTTTGGAAACCTAAGGAACATTCTTACTGATTGATCCTTCTGTTTAAAATGCATCAATCAAATTTTCAATTTCTAAGTTTCATATGAATTTTTATATTCTTGAAAGGGATAAAATAAAAAACTATCTGTGTACCATTGAAAATACTTGCATAAAAAATTAAAGTTTATTTTAAAAATATTTTAATTCAATACAAAATTGTTTGTTAATAAAAAAAAATGTAATAACTCTANCTTTATCTCAAAATTAAAGCAAACAAAAAAATTTCTGTTTTTGAATTATATAGCTAGAATACCTAAGAGCAAGTTCCAAAATCTCCAAGGCAGAGAACTAACCCAATGTAAAAGGACACGGGTAATGCTGTAAGTAAAATAAATATTGCACTAATACAGTGTCTTTTCAATGACTTAACAAGGTTATTTTTCAATTTTTGTAAGTCTTTCAAATTGAAACATAATAAAAACTTAGCTTGAAAAGTAAATTTCCAAATTCTAAATTTAACTTCTTTTTTTCTTTAGCTTGAATATGTAATTAAAGATAGTTAAGTCAGCTGCATGTTTTAAAAAAAAAAATTATAAAATATCATGAATGTAAAAACCACACAATGTATGTTTTTATGCAATCTGTAGTCAAAAGAAATTGTATGTAAATCTTTCACATTTATTTAATTTAATAATTATACTGTGAAAGATTAACAATGCTTGACTTTCTAAACAATATTTTAATTTTCATAAAAATTAAAAAATTATTATAATATTTGTTATCATCATAAATAAAATATCTTCAGCTTAATTTAGAAAAAGTTTACTCTTAAAAACTTTGTATTAAAAATGCAACAAAAAAAAAGCTAAATAAGTAGATGTAATTCAAAACTGTGGGATAGGAC